CATCATACCTTTACTGTTGACCAGACCACACACTAGATGGTGAAGGGATGACGACGTTTCGGGTCCGTCCTGGACCATTCTCAAGTCGATTGTCGATCTCATAATCGACTTGAGAATGGTCCAGGACGGACCGAAACGTCGTCGTCTCTTCACTCTCTAGTGTGAGGTCTGGTCAACATACTTTAGCCACGTTATTGTGACTCATCGCCTGCATACCTTTACTATTTCTTCATATTCTGGCTTCTTGTTTTCTTATTTCAGCTCCTTGTCTTCATATCCCAGCTCCTTGTCCTCATATCCCAGTTCCTTGGCCTCATATCCCAGATCCTTGGCCTTATATCCCAGCTCCTTGTCTTCATATCCCAGTTCCTTGGCCTCATATCCCAGCTCCTTGTTCTCATATCACAGCTCCTTGTCCTCATATCCCAGCTCCTTGGCCTTATATCCCAGCTCCTTGTCCTCATATCCCAGCTCCTTGTCCTCGTATATCTTCCAAGTATCGTATAGTCATACCGGCTTAGCGAGTTCTCCAGATAATGACTTTAATATTTTATACTTCCTCCTGTATGCTAAAATCTGCAGTTCCAGAATCAGTGGTCTGGATTGACATTATCTGTCATATCAGGTCTGACAGCTTGCCAGGCCGCATCCTTGATTGTCACGTCATGAATGCTGGGGTTATTAGGCCTGTAGCCTTCAGTCAGCCTGTCATATATATATATATATATATAAGAAGAGAGGTCAGGCACTGACAATGAGTTGTAATGTGGCACAGAGCAGTGCCCCGAGTCCCCCCAGCTGTGTCCCCCTGATACATGTACGTGACACAGCAGGGCCACGAGTCCCCCCAGCTGTGTATCCCCCTGATACATGTACGTGACACAGCAGTGCCACGAGTGTCATCACTCACGTGTCTTTTGCAATGGTGTAATCAGTCGTAAAACCAGTTTATTGACCCGAGGTTGATTATCAGAGAGTAATTACGCTTTCTACGAAAATAAGAAAGAAGTTCTCTCTCTCTCTCTCTCTCTCTCTCTCTCTCTCTCTCTCTCTCTCTCTCTCTCTCTCTCTCTCTCTCTCTCTCTCTCTCTCTCTCTCTCTCTCTCTCTCTCAAAAAGGGTATAGAAAGAGGGACCTAAATTATAGACCAGTATCACTGTAGATCGCTGTAACTGTTGACCAATATTAGTAGAGAAGATAGGGAGAGGGGTGAGAGAGATTGGGAAGAGAAGGGGAATAGGGGTAGACGGGAGAACTGAGGAAAGGGGGCAGGAAGGAAGGGGGGGGGAAGAGAAGGGGAGGGGAGGAAAGGGGTGGGGGAGGAAGATGGGGAGTTAAAGAGAAGTAAGGAAGTCCAACATTTGGCAAGGTTCCAGGGATCAATCTTACAGTAAGAGGCCGTCGTCTCCGTTAACTGAAAATTACGAGCAGTTTAAGTGTGTATAATGTGTGTGTGTGTGTGTGTGTGTGTGTGTGTGTGTGTGTGTGTGTGTGTGTGTGTGTGTGTGTGTGTGTGTGTGTGTGTGTGTGTGTGTGTGTGTGTGCGTGAGTACTCACCTAGTTGTACTCACCTAGTTGTGCTTGCGGGGGTTGAGCTTTAGCTCTTTGGTCCTGCCTCTCAACCGTCAATCAACAGGTGTACAGGTTCCTGAGTCTATTGGGCTCAGGAACTCCCGTGTGTGTGTGTGTGTGTGTGTGTGTGTGTGTGTGTGTGTGTGTGTGTGTGTGTGTGTGTGTGTGCGCGCGCGCTCACGTACATGCATGCGTGTGCTGTGTGTGCTCACGTACATGCACGCGTGTGCTTTGCGTGCGGGTGTGTGCGCGCACGTGTAGGTGCTTCTCGTGCAACAATGCACCTTTGTTTCCCCTCAGACTCAAACAACAATACCGGACCGTTTTTTCCCTGCGACTCAATGTATGAGATGAATTCATTTATTTTTCCTTTGGAGACGCATAACATAAAAATATTGTTGCTTTTGTTAGAATGTCATCATTGTCAAGCAGGATTCTTTTTAGCGACATGTCGTTGCTTAATGAGCCAGGAATTAGGCCTCTCAGAGCATGATATCGTTGACATGCTTGCAAACACAGCCTGTAGAACACCAGTGGTGGAAACAAAATATGGGTGTCTTATCAGCAGTGACGAAGATAATAGTTAAACGAATGTATGATAAAAATGTTATTGATCTGATAAATTCCCAAACACGTGAAAGCTGCAGCATTAAATATTGTTATGAATACAATAGGAAAGGTGTTGATATATGGAACTAATAGAGCAAGAACTCGGTAATGTGATGGAATAGTTGGTCAGAATACGCCTGGAATATAGATGTATATTTGGCGGCTTTCTCCAATCTCAGATGTCGAGTAAGGTGTCTCATCCTCGTATTCTCAATAAGTAGACACTTCCCTGAAGTGGATGACCTGCCTCATACCACCCTCAGGACACAACAGTCGTGTGAGGTTATCATGAGAGGTTATCTTGAGAAGATTTCGGGGCTTTTTAGTGTCCCCGCGGCCCGGTCCTCGACCAGGCCTCCACCCCCAGGAAGCAGCCCGGGACAACTGACTAACACCCAGGTACCTATTTTACTGCTAGGTAACAGGGGCATAGGGTGATAGAAACTCTGCCCATTGTTTCTCGCCGGCGCCTGGGATCGAACCCGGGACCACAGGATCACAAGTCCAGCGTGCTTTCCGCTCGGCCGACCGGCTCCCTGTGCCCGGTAGCCGCACCATAAGTCTTGTAATATATTGTCTTCTGTAACTTAAACACTACGAGACTCAAGTTATTTTTGAGCTAATTAAATATTATTCAACGATTTAGTGATTATATTGAACTAGGGAGCCGGTCGGCCGAGCGGACAGCACACTGGACTGTGATCCTGTGGTCCCGGGTTCGATCCCAGGCGCCGGCGAGAAACAATGGGCAGAGTTTCTATCACCCTATGCCCCTGTTACCTAGCAGTAAAATAGGTACCTGGGTGTCAGTCAGCTGTCACGGGCTGCTTCCTGGGGGTGGAGGCCTGGTCTAGGACCGGGCCGCGGGGACACTAAAAAGCCCCGAAATCATCTCAAGATAACCTCAAGATAACTAGATTGCCATCCTTGTGCGCGCTAATCCCTCAATTCCCCTAAGTGTAATTTAGCTCTAAGCCTGAGTTTATCTGTTATTAACATTCTTTGATGATAATTGAATTGTAATTAAACTGCATATTGTTAATAGGTTATTAAGACGAAGGCTCTTACGAGTTCTTCCCTCTTCCTTACATAGCTAAATTATGCCATTCTCACCCTGATTCAAGATACATATAAACTGGTAATTAACTTCACGGTAGACAGCTTGGGGGTCGTATAGTGTCACCGTAATCACCGTTCACAGTATATGAACCACACAGTTGTGGTTCTCACATCTGCTGATATATGAAAATATCTCTCATCATGGTTAAAAATGAAGTATTTGAGGTGAAATTTCCGTTGTATTTCATTTCGACATAAATTATCGTGTCGAATACTAGAAATATCTGGTCGGGTCTAGATGCCTTACTAGCTAACTGTTGGATTTCTTTGAGAGGCACTTGAGAGGCACTGCTGCGAGTGTAGGAAGTTACACACAATTGAAGCCTAACAACTAATACAAAGTTCTGAAACTTACAAACTTGCTTACAAGAAACTTACAAGGAAGTCATACAATCCAAGATATAACTTTTAGACTTTGATTACTTTCAATTTTGGCCCGTAGTGTAAGTAGATATCACAGTTGTGTTAAACTAACTGCTTGCTGAAGACTCCGGCACTCTTAGGCTGCTTGCTGAAGACTCCGGCACTCTTAGGTTGCCTGCTGAAGACTCCGGCACTCTTAGGCTGCCTGCTGAAGACTCCGGCACTCCTAGGCTGCCTGCTGAAGACTCCGGCACTCCTAGGCTGCCTGCTGAAGACTCCGGCACTCTTAGGCTGCCTGCTGAAGACTCCGGCACTCTTAGGTTGCCTGCTGAAGACTCCGGCACTCTTAGGCTGCCTGCTGAAGACTCCGGCACTCCTAGGCTGCCTGCTGAAGACTCCGGCACTCTTAGGCTGCCTGCTGAAGACTCCGGCACTCTTAGGCTGCCTGCTGAAGACTCCGGCACTCCTAGGCTGCCTGCTGAAGACTCCGGCACTCTTAGGCTGCCTGTTGAAGACTCCGGCACTCTTAGGCTGCCTGCTGAAGACTCCAAGCACACACGACCGTCTTGACTATTGACTGTTGGGTAATGCAGGTGATCGGTCTTGTCGCTTCGAAATCCATTAAAGCCGACAAAGTCGCGTTGAGGGGCTCCTCGCGGTCACTCAGTCTGACCCTCGCTGCGGTCACTCAGCCTGACCCCTCGCCGCGGTCACTCAGCCTCGCCTCTCACATGTCTGTCAGCGTTGCTATGGCCACACACTGCCGTCACAGACAGCTGCTTGAGACTCAGTTATCCTATTAAAATTCCACGTATATTTAATCGGATTTCCGGAGGAGCGGAGCTGAAGAATTTTAAAGATTTATTCCCAATTCATAGATGTCATGACTGTCGAGGGACTCTGGTTTGATTGGGGGGGAAACAGAAATGGTTGGGCAAGTTTCTTTTTTTTTACCTGGTGCGTATGTTCACCTAGTAGTAAAATAGGTACCTGGGAGTTAGGCAACTGTTGTGGGTAGCGGTGACCTGTGACGTGATCTTTTAAGTGCACCGATGAGGCAGGAACGTACGGTGAAAATAATAGCTTTGACTTAGGTTGCTCAGTGAATGCTGTGTGTCGCGCTCAGTCAGGTTAAACAGCGTCTGGGCTGGCCAGTAGCTGGATAGATGACCGCGTGGACAAGGGTTTTCACTGGTAAGGAGAGAGTTTGATGAGTCTAATGGACTTCTTTTCCATTCGATTCATCAAACGATATAGGAGTATGATCCATGGGTGGAGTATGATTCATGGGGGAGTATGATTCATTGGTGGAGTATGATCCATGGGTGGAGTATGATTCATGGGGGAGTATGATTCATTGGTGGAGTATGATCCATGGGTGGAGTATGATCCATGGGTGGAGTATGATTCATGGGTGGAGTATGATTCATGGGGGAGTATGATTCATTGGTGGAGTATGATCCATGGGTGGAGTATGATCCATGGGTGGAGTATGATCCATGGATGGAGTATGATCCATGGGTGGAGTATGATCCATGGGTGGAGTATGATCCATGGGTGGAGTATGATCCATGGATGGAGTATGATCCATGGATGGAGTATGATCCATGGGTGGAGTATGATCCATGGATGGAGTATGATCCATGGGTGGAGTATGATCCATGGGGTGGAGTATGATCTATGGGTGGAGTATGATCCATGGATGGAGTATGATCCATGGGTGGAGTATGATCCATGGGGTGGAGTATGATCTATGGGTGGAGTATGATCCATGGGGTGGAGAATGATCCATGGATGGAGTATGATCCATGGGTGGAGTATGATCCATTGGGTGGAGTATGATCCATGGGTGGAGTATGATCTATGGGTGGAGTATGATCCATGGGGTGGAGTATGATCCATGGGTGGAGTATGATCCATTGGGTGGAGTATGATCCATGGGGTGGAGTATGATCTATGGGTGGAGTATGATCCATGGGGTGGAGTATGATCCATGGGTGGAGTATGATCCATGGGTGGAGTATGATCCATGGGTGGAGTATGATCCATGGGGTGGAGTATGATCCATGGGTGGAGTATGATCCATGGGTGGAGTATGATCCATGGGTGGAGTATGATCCATGGGGTGGAGTATGATCTATGGGTGGAGTATGATCCATTGGGTGGAGTATGATCCATGGGTGGAGTATGATCCATGAGTGGAGTATGATCCATGAGTGGAGTATGATCCATGGGTGGAGTATGATCGAGCCAAGCATCATACTCCTGGAGGGATATGGGTGTATATCCTAGGTAGAGTTACCATCTTACACGCTCTTTCCAGATCTTTCTTGCCAGTATCTGTGACCCTTTATTCTTCCTACTCTCCTTCCCTCTCTATCGGTCCCTCTTCCCTCTCTACTTCCCTCTCTCTCGATTGTGGTCCAGGACGGACCGAAACATCGTCGTCTCTTCACCTTCTAGTGTGTAAGTTTGGTCAACATTTTTCAGCCACGTTATTGTGACTCTTCATCTGCTTAAATTTTCATTGGAGTATACCTGCTATGTTGATGTGAAAGTTTCGTAGGTTTCTAAACTTCTGCGATGAGAAATGTTACGTCAATGTCACGTCAACTGAGACCAGATATTGCCAAGGAATATTCCCTCGTCATTAATGCCACCATTAACTAATGAGGATCCACCAGCTCCCTCGGCTGCCGGAACTACTATCAGAGAATTTGATCACAGCCAGCAAACACAGCCAGCAAACACAGCCAGCAAACACAGCCAGCGACCAGCAAACACTGCCAGCGACCAACAAACACTGCCAGCGACCAGCAAACACTGCCAGCGACCAGCAAACACTGCCAGCGACCAGCAAACACTGCCAGCGACCAACAAACACTGCCAGCGACCAACAAACACTGCCAGCGACCAACAAACACTACCAGCGACCAGCAAACACTGCCAGCGACCAACAAAGACTGCCAGCGACCAACAAACACTGCCAGCGACCAACAAACACTGCCAGCGACCAACAAACACTGTCAGCGACCAACAAACACTGTCAGCGACCAACAAACACTGTCAGCGACCAACAAACACTGCCAGCGACCAACAAACACTGTCAGCGACCAATAAACACGGCCAGCGACCAACAAACACTACCAGCGACCAACAAACACTACCAGCGACCAGCAAACACTGCCAGCGACCACACACCTGCAGATAACAATAACAAGAGGGAGAAGTAGTAGTTTATAAACCGTTCTCCATCACTTGTTCTTGCGTTCTCCTTCTTCGTTCTTCTCTGTTGCTCCTGTTTCTCCAACTCTAAGCTATAATGCCTATAATTCCAAATCCCTTTCATTTGTTCATTAACATCACTCAGCCTCCATCATGTTAGTGTTGCACGAGCTCACATAATATGAAACATTAAGAAACGTTTTCAATAAAATGGAGAGAAAAAGGCTGTGATTTAGGACACTAAGAATGACTGGGATAATATAAATACAATGTTCAAGTAAATACAATGTTCAACTAAATGACGAATACATCTTCCAAGGGGGCGGTGTGCAGGACAAACATATCAATTGTGACACTAGCTCTCCACATATGTCAGTTGCTTAATTTAGAACGTGTACTTGAGGTCGATCTCGAACCCATTGATGATATAACGACTTATACTGAATTTTGTAACTAGCTCATCAAGATTGTAACTTGTTTAGCTAAATGAATTGTGGGGTTCAGTCCCTGAGCCCATTATGTGCCTCTGTAACCCTTTCCACTACCGCCCACAAGATGGGTATGGGGTGCATAATAAATGAACTAAACTAACATGGCAGCTTGTATTACGCTACAGGAGGAGCTGGTGAAGGTTACAGTGTCAGGTCTGAGGACGTTTTTAAACAAACAAATGGACGAGCCTAATGTCAATTGTATTCCCTCCAGGTATGTGTATTATGTCGCCACTCCCAGTCTCGCTTCATGCAGGTCGGCGTTCAATTCCTGATCGTCCAAGTGGTTGGGCGCTATTCCTTCCCCCCGTCCCATTCCAAAATCCTTATCCTGACCTCTTCCCAGTGCTATATAGTCGTAATGGCTTGGCGCTTTCACCCCTGAAAGTTCCCTTCCCAGCGGCCCGCAGCATGGGCGTTGCATGCTGATCTTGCTCTACTTTAAGACGTATGCTCCTATGCTCCTCCTGGCATGCTCCTTCTCCCATCCTCTTCTTTCTTCCCCTCGCATCATCCTCCTTCCCACATACTTGTTCTCCTATCATCAGTGTGCTCATTTTCTCCTGTTCTCTTGGCATATATTACATTGGCATCACTTGGCACATTCACGCGGAACGTCATATGGTGCTACATATCTACATATATGGTTCTACATATAAGCACTCCTCGCACTGTATATATCAATTGTGTATGTTGACCAAACCACACACTAGAAAGTGAAGGGACGACGACGTTTCGGTCCGTCCTGGACCATTCTCAATAGTAATAATATTAATATTGGACCATCAGAATGGTCCAGGACGGACCGAAACGTCGTCGTCGTCTCTTCACTTTCTAGTGTGTGATTTAGTCAACATTTTTCAGCCACGTTATTGACTCCTCGTCTGCATCAATTGTGTACGCTTGCTGGCCAGTAGATAGCGTGCCTGGCCATTGGACATGTAGAATCCATCAATGATGGATCAATACGAGGAATGTGAAGGGTAGAGGATGTCAATAGTGTCTCGTTCTCTAGTTGGTGACCAAACTGGGTTGTCGGTAATCCATTTAGTGTTGGATGATCAATATTGGCGATATGTAAATGTGCTGTAACTTAGTTATATGTGGCCAGAACGTGATCTGTACGTGGCTGTATGTGGCCAGAACGAGCGAGAGAGAGAGAAAGAGAGAGAGAGAGAGAGAGAGAGAGAGAGAGAGAGAGAGAGAGAGAGAGAGAGAGAGAGAGAGAGAGAGAGAGAGAGAGAGAGAGAGCACCACCATGAATATTGTCTCCATTTCTCAACAAATTTTCCATTTTAGCGTCTTAAGCTGTCAGCATCTCGACATTTCATTCGTTATTTTAATCACTATTTTTAAGATTTTTTTTTTCCTCTATTTTCCATTAGTGTTAGGCTTCTTCCTGCGAGTAGATGAGGGGCATTAGTCAATAGTTTCAGTGGGGTGAGAGGCTCAACAATCTGTTTCAGTGGGTTTATGTTTGGCTGTGTGAAATTAAATAATATTTTGGAATTAGGATTGTTCGGTGATGATTTTAATCACGTGTAAAACCCCCTCTATTTTTTTCTGTCCGTATTTACGTATTTGTAGAGGTTTTCGTATGATATATTTCCTTATTTTGGTAAGATTGATCGTTGCTGGGCGCTAATCTCGCTCCAGTGTGCTAATGTCTTTTCTTAAGCACAGTGATCAAGATGTTATAGATTCAGCTACTGAGAACAAAAAGTTGCAAGTAGCACGGACTATGGTGAGCCCGTAGAGTGACCAAGAGTGTGCGTAAGAAGTGGACGTACTAACGTGGTGTTCAGGATTAGGACAGTCTTCCCAGGCTGAAATCCAAATGATTTGGCAATAGAACTTTTGATTCGATTTACCTTCTGATAGTCATTGTAAATTATATGACTTGCTTCACGTTTGTGGTGTATATTGTACCTGACCATTTTCCTTATGAAAAAGGGTCATTTTCATTCATTTTCATTTTCATTTCCTTATGGAAAAGCACCATTTTCCTTCATGGTGCCTCTCATATTCTTCATTCATCATATTTTCTCTCGTCATTTTTATTGTTCATGAGGTTTTCATCTTAAGTGATCATGGTGTCTCTTGCCTTAAAAATTATTTCAGAACTTCTGAAGACACGCAGAGTATATTAACGGAGAGTATTTCAAGGAGAAGCAGAGTTATTCTTCAAGGACAACTCACGTTACTAAGCCAGGTCAACACAGTTAATCAGGAAAACCATTTAGGAAGCAAAATCTTCGTTCGCTGATGACCTTGTAACCGTAAATGTCTTAATATATTTATCAGTTATACATATAATACTTAATCATCTCGCCGTGACGAGATTCCAAGACGCCAGCGAGAATCAGAATGTAACTGGCTGTCAGTCTCCCATAATAAATTTCCCATTTTTTCCAGCTAGTAACAGCAAAATCACCGTAACACTTACCAGAATTCTTCTCTTCCAGATGCAGCCGCTGAAGAATGACTGGCTAACGACATGGGCCTCTCACAGTGGTTGATGTCAGGGTACGGGCGAGGCTGGCACTCTCTACTGCCTCTCTGGTGCCAACAGCCACACTCACCAGGGTCTAAGTGTCCCCACACAGGCAGCAGTCTCACGGAGGGTCGAGGGGCCACTGCGGTAAAACATGGACGCTTCTTTAGCGTGATTATATAGACATCTCGTGCTGAAATAATAATATTAAAGCGAAGAGAGCCATTAGCCAGAGAGAAACTGCATCTCGTGCTGGAAGAGGCTTTATAAACATTAAGAGAATTACAGTGAATTTGAGAGAAGTTATTAAAATGTTTTTTTATCACCAAGAAGAAAAGTTATGATCTGACACAAAATTGATGACATCAAAAGTAGAAATGTTGCTAACATAAAAAATACAGTTGGGATGACGTCTGTTTTGTAATGCCAACCTCCTCCTCCTCCTCCCACCTGTAACAGATTAATATATTTTAATGTTTCCCATTAATACTAGAAAACGATAAACCAGAGAAGATGGGTTTTGGAGTGTCCAAGTGCATATGTGGAGACGTGGGGACGGAGAACGAGGCGGAGGGCGGCAGAGGCCACGATAAACGGAACAAGTTTAGCTTCTCGCCCTACAGGAAACACTCTCCTTCAATGAGCAAAGTCGAGAGAGGTGAGTACCGCTTGTGCCTTGCCGTGGTGGAAGTTGTCTAGGGAAATAATGAGGAAAGTTATTGTCTACCCTCTTGTTTATGTTGTAGAAGATGGAAGATGAGGAATAGTAGAGGGGAGACGAGCATATTTTGGCAAGTGAGCGTTCTTTGTCGCTGTTACTTCTGCCTACAAAGTCTCTTCTTCCATGTTAAAACTCGAAGTTCGCATTTTGCCAGTAGGGTTCGTTCTCGATTCACAGTCCGGAATCCTGAGTTCGAATCTCGAGCGGAACACAAATAGTTGGGCATGTTTCCTTTTTTTTTTTTTTTTTTTTTTTTTTGAGATATATACAAGAGTTGTTACATTCTTGTACAGCCACTAGTACGCGTAGCGTTTCGGGCAAGTCCTTAATCCTATGGTCCCTGGATACGATCCCCTGCCGCGAAGAATCGTTTTTTCATCCAAGTACACATTTTACTGTTGCGTTAAACAGAGGCTACAGTTAAGGAATTGCGCCCAGTAAATCCTCCCCGGCCAGGATACGAACCCATGACAGCGCTCGCGGAACGCCAGGCGAGTGTCTTACCACTACACCACGGAGACTGTTCTCCCAACGCCTTTGTTCACGGAGTTAGTCAACTCCTGTGGAGCTGCATCCTGGTGAAGGTTAGTACCTCGACCTCGGAAAATACCTCGAGGACCAGCTTAACGTATATACAATCACAAGCTTCCTGTCCCCCAACAAAACTAATTATTTGCCTGATGTTGTTGTTGTTATAGATTCAGCTACTCGGAACAAGTTCCAAGCAGCACGGGCTGTGATGAGCCCGTAGTGGACTTACCTGGCACAGGAGCGGGGCTGTGAGTTTTTGCCTTATTTTACCCGAGCTTTAACGTTCCTTGATGTCTGGTGCTCGCGGGGCCGCACGAGTGCCTCGGTGACTATACCCGTAAGTGCCATCCAAAACTGGCACTGCATCTGGGCTTGTTTCCGCCCCCGTCTCTTCCATTCCGTCCATCGTGGCGGAATGTCCCCATCTCCATTACGTCCTCTTCCATCACGTCCCCATCTGAGGCTCGCATTCTTGATAACTTGTTCTGAAGGCCCCATTCCGTCTCGCCCAGTAGAGGAGACGGTAGAAGGTTGAGTGGTAGAGGGTTGCTTTAGTAGAAGAAGTAGAAAGGGAATGTGTGTGGGAGCAGATGTGGGAGAGTGGATGGAAGGTGCACGGAGTGGAGTACGTGGGGGAGATATGGGGGAGGCAGATGACCCCAAGTTATTCTCCTCCTTCTCCTCCTTCTCTTTCTTCTAGTTCCTGCCTTTATCATATTCCATTTCTCGTTGGGTCATATCTTTCCAAAATAGACACAAGCGTTCCATAATCCTTTGCTCACATATCATATTCCTAAACGTAGTTGCCTTTCCGGACTGAATACCTCGTGTTCAAAAAAATAATATATATATATATATATATATATATATATATATATATATATATATATATATATATATATATATATATATATTATATAATGTGTGTACAAGATAATTAGATTATATCGCGTATAATAATCCTAATCATCCAAATACACACACAAACATTTATAATTGTGCTCATAAATTAACATAATTAGGTAAAATATTTAATTTGCAGTTTTGGTGTCACCTAGTGTCTAATATTTCCAGACTCGGAGAGAATAATTCATTGTTATTGCATTTCTGAACACTTTTTAATAAATTCCCATTACTTAAAAAGTATCCATTAGACTTTAAATAATGTGTGTGTGTGTGTGTGTGTGTGTGTGTGTGTGTGTGTGTGTGTGTGTGTTTGTATTCACCTAGTTGTGTTTGCGGGAGTTGATCTCTGCTCTTTCGGCCCGCCTCTCAACTGTCAATCAACTGTTACTAGCTACTGACTATTTTTTTATATAATAATATATTATATTATTATATAATAATTTTATATAATAATTATATATTATAATTAATATAATATTAATGTGTGTGTGTGTATGTGTGTACGAGCGCGTGTGTGAGCGCGTGCGCCTCACGTAACCTAACCTTGGAGGACAGAACCAAGTTATAATTAGTGTGGCAGGTGAAGTGACACACCAGAGTCCAGGTGATCACAGGTGGCCCGAGGAAGACCCTCCACCTGTCTCTCACCACCTGCACACCTTAATGATTAAGATATCATCATTATCATCATTATCATCATCATTATCACTATCATTATTGACAAAACCAAAAAAAAAAACGGGCTGTGATGAGGATTCGAACCCATGTGCTGGATATTCCCAGGCTCACACGCCCCCAGACCAAAAAAAATACCTGTGATAAAAACACCTGCAGACAGGTCAAGACATTGTCTGCAGATGTTTGGGAACACCAAGCGCATAGGTTCGAATCGCCATGACAGCTCCTTCGGATTTTTCTCATTGATGAATCATGTTAGTATGATTACTTTCCGTATAATAATATTATTATTACGGTAACATCTTTCATTAAGGCTTAATCCAGGTCATGCTTCACTGGCCTCTTGGAAACATTTAACAAATAATGTTATATATATATTTATTTATTTATATGATATATATTAGTGTATCCTCTCAGAAAGAGAATTGTTCTCTAGATTGATGGCCAGATGTTCTCTCTGTTCTCTCAATACTCTGCAATTTAAACGCAAGCCGCTGCAAGTTTCGAAATGGTTTGAGTGTTAATTAAAACGTCGTAATATCGACGACTTAGGAGACACCAGTCATGCAACCTGTCTTCAGGCTAGGCTCGTTAAAGCAGCGCCTCCCTCCCCCCCCCCCCCCACATAGGTTAAGTTCTGCGTTTAGGTTCTGTTGGTGATAATTTGTATTTGAAGGACGTGAGTGAAGCATTTATAGCGTTGTGGTTCGAACAAGGGGTCGTCAGCGAAGCACTTGTTCGAGAAATGTTCGAACAGAGGGTCGTCAACGAAGCACTTGTTCGATAAATGTTCGAACAGGGGGTCGTCAACGAAGCACTTGTTCGAGAAATGTTCGAACAGGGGGTCGTCAACGAAGCACTTGTTCGAGAAATGTTCGAACAGGGGGTCGTCAACGAAGCACTTGTTCGAGAAATGTTCGAACAGGGGGTCGTCAACGAGCACTTGTTCGATAAATGTTCGAACAGGGGGTCGTCAACGAAGCACTTGTTCGAGAAATGTTCGAACAGGGGGTCGTCAGCGAAGCACTTGTTCGAGAAATGTTCGAACAAGGGGTCGTCAGCGAAGTACTTGTTCGAGAAATGTTCGAACGTCATCAGTTGTGCGTCGCGTGTAGACCGTTTCTCGGCTGGCTTAGCGACCATTTGGCCTTGGCTGATGAGGCCAAGCTGCCGTCTTGACAGGTTGGGTGGCTTCCTAAGCTTCAACTGGGTTAAACCACATCAAATTTGACGTTTGTCAAATCGTGAGACCGGCCCACTTTCACACGTCTCTCTTAATCCCCCCCCCCCCGCTCTCTCAACCGTGATATCAACCGTGTTATCAATCCCGCACTTATCAACCGTGTTATCAACGGTGGTTTCATCTGTGCTTGTATGCATCACATCTACGAGCGGCTCCTCTACTCCACACACAAGAACTTACGAGCGGCTCCTCTACTCCATACACAACTTACGAGCGGCTCCTCTACTCCACACACAACTTACGAGCGACTCCTCTACCCCATACACAACTTACGAGCGGCTCCTCTACTCCACACACAACAACTTACGAGCGGCTCCTCTACTCCATACACAACTTACGAGCGGCTCCTCTACTCCATACACAACTTACGAGCGGCTCCTCTACTCCACACACAACTTACGAGCGACTCCTCTACTCCACACACAACTTACAAGTGTTCCTGCTGACTCCACTTTCACTCCACGTTCCTGGAGTGTGGTTTAAAATAGCCCTCCTGAACCGTGAAGCAAAAATCAACATTTTCAATATTGACACAACTTTACACTTGTATGTGTGAGGGAGGGGGGTGGGGGGAAGCGAAAAGGGGGGGGGGGTGGTAAGGGGGGGGGGAGGAGAGAAGGGGAGGGGTCGTTAGGGGGAGGTGTAAGGGGGGAAGGGGGTATTAGGGTACCCCTCATAAATGAGGATAATTCCCCTTGTATAATACTAAAAGGGAAGAAATCAGGAGAATATTGTTAAGAAAAATATATAAGAAAAAATAAATAATATAATAAATAATATAAATAAATAATAAATAATATAAAAATAAAAAATAAAATTAATATATAAGAAAAAATAAATAAAAGCAACGCGAGTCACGAGGTAAACATAAATAAACAATCCAGTAATGGAATTGATTTCGTTGTGGAAAAAAAAAATCCTTGAAGCCCCAGTTGGTCCCCCGGGTTCATTCCCGCCAGACGTCGCCCAGGTTAATTATATCACCTGGGACAGGTGGGTGGCCGGGGTGTGATGATGACAGGTGTCATATAAGGTGGTAACTCATCCTCAGGTATGTCGTTTAAGGCGGTAACTGACCCCAGTTATGTCGTTTAATGTGGTAACTGACCCCAGTTATGTCGTTTAAGGTGGTAACTGACCCCAGTTATGTCGTTTAAGGTGGTAACTGACCCCAGTTATGTCGTTTAAGGTGGTAACTGACCCCAGTTATGTCGTTTAAGGTGGTAACTGACCCCAGTTATGTCGTTTAAGGCGGTAACTGACCCCAGTTATGTCGTTTAATGTGGTAACTGACCCCAGTTATGTCGTTTAAGGTGGTAACTGACCCCAGTTATGTCGTTTAAGGTGGTAACTGACCCCAGTTATGTCGTTTAAGGTGGTAACTGACCCCAGTTATGTCGTTTAAGGTGGTAACTGACCCCAGTTATGTCGTTTAAGGTGGTAACTCACCCCAGTTATGTCGTTTAAGGCGGTAACTGACCCCCAGTTATGTCGTTTAAGGTGGTAACTGACCCCAGTTATGTCGTTTAAGGTGGTGACTGACCCCCAGTTATGTCGTTTAAGGTGGTAACTCACCCCA